TTGCTGGTTTAAGAAAAAAAAAATCTGAACCGCAGCATATGTTCCCTGTCTTCTTCCTTGCTGAAAACTGTAGCATCATTGCATCTGTAGAAATTGTAGAAATTACAGTGCATTACTTTTATTGTGAATTAACATACAAGGAATTTTTGAAAGGAAGGAGTAATTACAGCAAACAGATCATTCTTCTGTTGCTTAGAAATAAAAATTAACTACACTTGATATAAAATCTAAATTAAAATTTTAACTGCAAACAAAATAAGAGTTTGTTACTTCTTCGTTATTATAGTGCTCAGGAAATAAATCCCTATAGGATCATAGCTTTTCTACAGAGAACCCTGTGTTGCTGAGATTTATTTCGTGAGTTACTATTTGATTATTGCAGAATGATAAATGTGAACTCTTAGTCAGAGGTAGGAACAGAAATATACATACAAATTTGAACAGAAAGATGTAGAGATGGTTTACACACATTAAGTACATCTCATTTCAAGCAAGGTGAACACAAGCAGAGTGCAGTTCCAACTGAAGTGCATTTTGGGGTTTCTGCATGTCCGTGATGTGTCAAACCATCTGTGCAGGAGTTGCTCCAGTGGTCAGTGCTAGCAAAATCTGGAAATTCTTGAAGTTCCCACTTGGTACAAGATTTGTGTATGGAGAACGAAGATGCAGTTCTAGGATGTGGTTGACCTTTTGTTTAAAATATCCTTTTGTTCTGATACCACTTAGTGCATTTCTTCTGTAGCCTTTTGTAGTTCACTCTGCCTGTTTGGAAAGTAATGAAATTTAGGATTTGTGTGTGGAAAACTGATGAAATCTGGGAGCTTAGATCACTTACTAGAGTGAGGTTGGATTTTTTTTGTTCTTAATTTTCTTTAAATTATTTCAGGCAATACTTAAAATCAACAGATCACAGTATATTGTTAGGCATAGTATTGGAAACTCGTAGGTTAATTTTAATTGTTAGAATACTCATTTTGTGTTATGGAGTCTCCTTCTAAGCCTTACAATACAACAGCATAAACCAGAGAATGATACAGCTAAGTAGTTACGTCTGATCTGTTTCTCATTTTCCTGTGTTTTATTTTCTCATGCTTTGCACAATCCAGTTTGGAGTGACCTTCATTTTCCCTTTAGAGACTTTCATAAGCAAATGGAATTAGAAAACATTTCTTAATGTTTCTTAATATCCAGCCAGAAATTCTTAATACTCCTTGGGACTGTGCACTCTCTGGTAGGAACATGCTGTTACTGATGTCTTTTCAGCCACTTAATGAGTATGATCATGATTATATCATCTTGCTACTGTTAAAACATTCTCCGCATTTGCAGATATAGTTGGCTGCAGGTCCAAAATATATACCTTATCCACAAAATGTAACTCAGTATGCCAAAAAATCAGAAAGAAAAAAGACGACTAGGACATCTCTCGGGAACAGAAGATACTTGCAGCATTATGTATAAAATAAAACAATGAGTACCTTGGTTTATAGATATATGCACTATATTACATATAGTTCATAAAAAGCAAAACCAGACCACTGAGGATAAATGTGCTTTATATATATACCTATATTTTTAGACATTATCTTGGGTTTTTGAGACTCCCTCTGCTGGTTAATTGCTTTAATGTACCAAGTTTCTTCTGCTGAAACCAAATGATTTTCATGAAGTGACTAAATCACTCCCTGTTGAAGACTTTGAATTTAAATTTATCTTGACAGGATTTTTGGTGCAAAAGGATACATTTTACTCTGTTTATGCTGCTGAAGTAGTTATGTTATCCATCTACTTTCTGTACAGAACAGTTGATTTCTGAGAGAGAAGATGAGGTGAATGAGTGTAATATCTACAGCAGCAAAAGTAGAAACATTCATACCCTAAGATTAGCTCATCCTCACCTGTTCTTCATGCACATTTTAACCTCCAAATCTCCCTATTAGACCAATGTAGGCAACATTTTGTGTGTGAAAATTTGCAGGGAAGTCATAGATGCCTAAATCTATGCATCTCTCATACAGTGAATGGTTGGAAGAGATGAGATCGTAAGCTTTAGTTTGGCTGGCAGGGAAAAGTAGCTGATGGGTATTTTTTGTTATGATGAAATGGATCCAATATCCTCTAAACTTGTTTTGAACTCTAGTTAGCAAGTCATAAACCAGAAGATGTTGTTATTTGTATTACGTGTATGTGCATTAGGAAGACTAGGAGTGCAGAATTTGTGACGTTCCTAAAACATTTGAGTCCATAGCTCCAAAAACTGTCATGTGTGTAAGAAAAGTTGATTGTTTTGCACTGAAAATGTGTATTTTCAGCCTGTGAGTACTTGTTCACATACACAATGAAGGGATCAACTGAATCATCTGTGTTTTGGGAGTCTGGCCCTCTGAGTCTGAAACCAGACGGAACCAGGGCTGCAAATTATATGATAGCCTAAATTTAGTTGCTGATTAAGAAGTACATGGACCATCTCAGCATTAAAGTAGAAGGGGAGAATAGCAAATAATTTCCAAAGTTTTGATATAGAACCAACATTAAAGAACATGACTTTATGTTCCATTTTGTTTTTTTATTGTTGTTGTTTGTTTTTTCCAAGTGACTGCAACAGCAACAGGAACTCCATTGCCTCGTTCACCAGCATTTGTAGCAGTCAGTGCAGTTCGTACTTTCACAGTGATGAAATGGATTCAGGTATGTTTAGAAAAGCCAGCTATGAATCTGTCATCAGTTCCTTTTGTTCCTTTTTGTTCTTTTCATTTGCCCTGCAAATTGGAGTTTTTGTTTTAAAAGTGCCTTCTCCCTGGTAATCGAAGTGTCTCATTTTGTTTCTGCTTAGCCAATGGTGCAGTTAAAAGTCCCTCTGTGAAAGAGAGCCAACATTCCAGAAAGTCTGTAAATAGGCTGAATTAGCTTCCCCTTGTGGGGAAGGACTGTTTTTAACCGCTTTCATACCTTGACCTTGAGAATGCATTAGATGGCACATTTTAGGTGAGGAGCATTTTGGGTAAGTACGGAATGCTCTCCCAGACAGCACCAAGACCCAGAATGCAGGATACATTTGTATATATTTGCAGGAAGGAATGTAGACCACATGGAAGCACATTCTTGTTTATACCGTGACAAATTGAATTTAAATAAATGCAGCTGCTAATAGAACTGAGATGGAATTTAACTACATGGAGTACAAGGTCATGTGCTTAGGGACTAATAATAATAAAAATATTTGTTCTAAACTGAGAGTTTATCATTTGGGAATGACTTAGGAAAAGAAAGAACTGGGCATATTTATTGAATGTAAGCCACCACTGAGAAAGAAGAAAATTCTTAGAGAAGAAAATTTTGTCCTGATAATATCAGGAGAGGTATTTTCAACTGAGATGATAGTAAAATATTAATGACACTGTTGAAGATATCTGAGAAACCATGTGAATTATACAAGTCCAGTCAGTCTAGTCTTGAAAATTCTGTTTTCAAGATATAAAGCATGATACACAGTAAAATGATGAAGGAAATGAAAAGAATTAATCCATGAGGAGACTTAACTGCCTTTATCTCTAAGCTGAGATACAAACACTGTCCAGCATCGTGCTGAGGTACCAGCTGAGGTGTCTAGAACAATATATGTGTGCTAGCCAAGCCCAAATACGTTAAAATACTGCCACTCAGCTAAACTCCCACTCTCCTGATGACCTAATTTTCTTCTAGTTCCAAGGCTGACCTGGCTAACTCCAGAGCACGACTCTTTTGCACTGTGCTCCGTCTGTTAAAATAAAAAGCCTGAGAAGGATTATAACTACTGGCTATAAGGGCCTCTGAGGGAGCTAAAAAAAAAAACAAACAAAAACAAAACAAAAACAAAACACACACACACACAGAAGAGCGCTATTGAAGTGTCTCATGGACAAAAGAAAAAAGTGAGTCCTGACCCCAAACACATTTGCCTTGAAATATGGCAGCTTGTTATCTAGCACTGCAGTAAAGTGGAACAAAGTTTTAAGCTCAAATTTGGTCATTTTGCCAAAGTCAGGTGATGAGGTTGAGTGAGCAAGTGAATGAAATCAGTGACATAAGAGAGCCCCTCTCCTTCTGTGTGTATGAAGTAGTTCTTTATACCATACTTACAGCTTCATACCACATACAGCATTCGGATGCTGTATTTTTGTTAAAGTACTGAAACACCAGTCCCTATTAAAAAAGTAGTGGATAGTTACTGATTTAGGTTATTTAGCTATTTAGTCTTGTGGTTAGGATGTTCTCCAGGACAAAAGAATTTGGTATTGTTTCTCTAAAAATTGTTCCTGTATTTTATCCAGTGACTCTTTAATGTAAAATACGTATAGAGAACAGTTGCATGCCATAGGCTTCTGGGTAATACTTTACCAGGCTGGTGCCTCCAGCCATAGTGGGTATATAAAAGCCTGTGGATCAGTGTTTGTTCACAGCAGATTATCCAAGCTGTAAAGATTCTGGGAAATAAACTGAAACTTCTAAACAATTCTTAATTTCAAAATATTTTTCAGGTGATGAGCTTCCCATAAGTGTTCGAATCTCTCACGATAAACAGGACAAGCTCCATAGCTGCTTGGAGCATCTGTTTGGTCAAGTATGAGATTATTTTTCATAGATCTAGTACTAATATCCATGCTTGAGCTAAAATATCTATAGCAAATACCTCTTTTTCTTTTTACTTTTGCTTTCCATTGTTTCTTTGGATGGTATGTATTGATTCCTTGTTCTTCTGTTCGCTGTAAATGGTTCAAAGTGACTAAATTAAATGGGACCTTAGATTTATTCTAATATTCTCTAGTCTTGAGTATAAACTAGAGCCATTAGGTGAGAAGGAATCCAAAGCTACTTTTTCACTAGTTCATATTTCTTAAAGAAAAAAAGAAATTCTTCTTGCTGTGAAGAGAACATTGTGCTCACAGAACTTTGATCCCAACAGGTAGATTCAATCGCCAACCTTCTGAAAGGACCAGCCGTGGTGAGGGTCTTTGAACAGACAAAATACTTCACGCCAGGTCGAGGTCTGCAAGGTAATGTTTAAGCATCCCTCTCGGAATTAAGAGGTGGCTCTCAGAGAGAATGGATGTGCCTGTACATGCTTAGAGCTGGGTGCTGAAGAACTGATGGTGATTATTGTCACATTCTGCAGTAATTGCTCTTGGAAATTTTAAAGTACATCTTAGTAGTTTTAACTGAAAACTTATTTCTTACACACTACACTTCTTTATTCACTGCATGATGCATATGCATATTTCAGCCCTTTTGGAAAGTTAGCTTTAAAGCATAGACTGAACTGACCGTAAAATTGCCGAGCTTTTGAAGCAAGAGTGGGTTTTATATATTGCAGGAGTTTTTGCTTAATTTTTGTCTCATTTGAGACTGTTGAAGTAATTTCTAATTTATATAATTACTGCCTTTTTTAGTGTTTTACAGATATTTTATTTGTGAAACTGTTTCATAAATAATTTGCAAATCTAAGTTTATATTCATAGTAATGGTCATACCAATTGGAAATATGTATTATTGATAGTTATAAAAAAAATCCTACATGTAATTTTAGATATTCTGCTAGCACTTACCTTATTGCTTAAGTCTATCACCTGTTGATCACCAAGGACTTACGTATACATAAGACTGTGTTAAAAAGTGACGGGAATTTCTTTTAGTAAACTAAGTTTAAAAAAAGTAAGAACTCAACGGGAGAATAAATGTTGGATGGTTAATATGTATAGTTGTATGGTGTGTTTAGTGACCCTGCATATGTCTTTTGGCGAAGAGCTAATGAAGATCTGCCTTCTTGCTATCTATAATTTTTTGTAAATAGGCAAAAATCCTCTTGAAGCAATTAGAGCATAATTATTGTACATCAACTATCTTGCCTTACAAAGTCTCATGTACTTCCCTCGCAGTGAGTTCGCGAGGAAGATGGTATAGCCTCCTCTTTATCACTCTCCTCCTACCCTCCCGTCACCTTTTTCTATAATTTGAGTGAGTATGGAGCATGAGTGTTCGTATTGTTTTGAACTGAGTACCTGTCAGTCTCATATGACAAAGTGTATCCTTGCAGTGAATGTCCAGTTAGACAAAAGATATGGACAAGGCAGATATTTTATCTACTGTCTTAACTGTGTTCATGAGCAAGGAACACTTTCAGTGATTTGAGGGATAAACTAGGCTGAAAAGCCTAGGCAGTAAGTAGTTTTGTATTAAGATTAATTTTCTGAGTATTTTGTTGAAGCGTATTCTCTACTGCAAGTTAAATTTGCAAATTAATTGAACTATTCCTGTCTAAACTGTGTTTTCACTAAATAATTCTGTAGTGAACTACAAAATGTTTGTAGGTGGCTGTGTTCAAGATACAATTTCAAAAGATCACCAGCATCTTCAGGATTGGATTCAATTTTTTCCTATATTTGCCTCTAACAGGTCTAAGTTTCCTCTTACTAAATGGAGCCCCAAACCTTCTATCTTATGTACTAGTTCCAGAAGAATTGTGTTTTGAAATGCTGCTTTGATTAAGTCAGGAGATTAGATAGCTACCTTAGACCTGTCACCCTCATTTAAAGACAAGTAGAGTCATGGAAGATGACACCTCCTTGTTGGGTGAAAACATTTGGGAAGAAATGTCTTTCTTTGGCATTTGCACAGGATTTAAACAGAATGTTGTTGTTGTCTTTGCTTAGAGTTGCAGCAGGAAATGGAACCGAAGCTTAGCTGTCCAAAGAGGCTACGACTTCACATTAAGCAAGACCCTTGGAACCTTCCCAGCAGTGTCCGGAGTCTTGCCCAGAATATCAGAAAATTTGTGGAAGGTTAGTACGGAGAACATGACTGTAAGTAAACACTGAGTTTATGATAGTGAGCTGGAGGAAGGAAATGTGAAGGGTATGAAGGCTTTGCTGCTAGGCAACAGTCTATGAGAAATACCTCAATTTGAGGACACCTTTGTGGTTACAAGGTTACTGGAGCGTATCTCAGCTGTCTGATTATCACCTTATTGACTTCAGATGCAGAAGAGAAAAGTGAAAAGTGAAACAGATAAAGAGCTAAAACCATACACTGTGCTGGGTTATTTCAGTTGCTGCTGAAGTCCAGGTGGCTTGAATGATCTGTCGCAAAACATCATGAGTTTTGTGCATGAAATGGAGCTTTCTTTGAAGTTAGACTCCCTTTCTTTCTTACCATTTTCTTTTGGAAAAGAAAGATTGCAGGACTTTTGGCTTTCATCTGTCATTGGGATCATTTCCTATTTCCCTCCTTTGTGATAAACCAACCCACTGCCACTGTTTTTCACTCACTCCATCACAGCTGATCCCATGTCTCCTTAATCTGCTCTGCCTTCCTCCCGTGATCACCCAGTATTCTCTTCCTATTCAGTGCTAGTTGACAATGTGAGCTAATGTTTTCTATTCTGTTCCCTGACTTTATAAGAAAGCAAACTGCATTTCCTCTCCAGAAAATCTTACATGTAGCTTTTGCCTTGTTTTGTATGCTGTTTAATAAAGAAACAGAAATAACGAGCAAAATTATTTTTATAAAACTGCTCAGTGCTGCAGTATGAATCTTTGCATGGGAACAAAAATTGGCGTCAATTGTAGTTTTAAGTGATTTGTGTGTATGTTTACCTATTTTCATTTTGTTGGCTAATCTTTTTGGTGTTCCGTAAAGAAACTGCTAAATATCAGATCAATGGAAAAGAGCTTTGTGATAAGTTTTATTAAGATAAAAGTTCAAGAATCCACCAGCCAAAACAAACAACTCCTCCCTCTCTGACTTTCAGTATTTCTCATTTCAGATATGATTATATCTGAAATATGTCAGACCCTGTGTTAGAAAATTATAACAATAAAAACAACAATATCCCTTATTTTGCAGTTGATCACAGTGGGTAGACTCTTTTTCATAAAATCACAGAATGCTTAAGGTTGGAAGGGACCTCTAGAG